TTGTGTGGCGGCCGTTTCTTTTAAAAAAAACATATAAAGAATCCTTTTTCTGATTTTCAGAAATACAAAGAAAACAAGGCCAACGCTATGCATCCACACTTCCACCAACCCGGTACATCTGCATGCGACCTTCCCGCCGGCCGGTTCGCAGTCTTCCACGAAAATCTCAATATTCTCAATTTCTGCCGAAAAAAATGGCAAGGCGCGAAGCTTCAAAGACACCCCTCCCTAAAAAAACCATAGTTTTGAAGCTTCGCGCCAACGCAAAGTGGCCAACTAAATAGCCAACAAATGATTAAGAAAAAAATTCTACTGGCCGACGGGAAACTGCATCCACGAAAGCAAAGACAGTCCACACTAGCAGTGGATACACAAAATGATCAACGACTCACGCATGTCACAGACGGCCGCACGTGGTCGAAAACGGCGGAGCACAAGCGAAAATCGTCGTAGTGGGACGAGGCCCCTGGTCCTTGCACGGGCTGGTGATTGGTACACACAACATCAATATTGTCATAAATATTTCGACAAAGTAATTCCAGTGTTGGCCAAAAGGCATGGCTACCGCGGACCCGGAATCCGGACCAATCCGGACCCGGACCACCGGTTGGTTTGGTCATGTTCCGCACGTCCGGATCCACGGACCAGTCCGGACCGTCCGGACCATGTCCGGATTGGTCCGGATGGTCTGGATGGTGACGTCCGGACTGGTCCGGATTGAAAATACATATATTATAATAATATTATAACATATATAGTATAATTAGTACTACATACATATTATATTATTATTATCAGGGTTGCCGGAGTTCGGGACGGGCCGAACGCCCGAACCCGAACGCCCGAACGTTTGGGACCCCCTCTCGACGCGTTCGGACGTTCGGCCGAACGCGGGACAAAAAAAAAAAAAAAAAAAAAAAAAAAAAAAAAAAAAAAAAAAAAAAACATTTTCAAACCGCGCGCAACTAAGTGTGTGTGTGTGTGGGTGTGTGTCGATTTGTGTGTTTGTGTGTGTGTGTGTGTGTGTGTGATCGGGCGGAGGTGCAAGGGGCGACGCCTCCCCCACCACTCAGTCAATCAATAAATTTAAAAAAAAAGAAGTACTAAAGATTAAAAAAAAAAAAACATGGTGATCTCTCGCTTATTCTCCTCCTCAAAAGAAGAAGAAGAAGAAGAAGAAGAAGAAGAAGAAGAAGAAGAGGAAGAAGAAAAATAAGAAGAAGAAGAAGAAGAAATTACTTACCAGCAGAACCCATGGTGATCTCTCGCTTATTCTCCTCCTCAAAAAGAAAAACGCGTCCTCCTCCGTTGCCCTTCTTCTTCACCCCTGACTACGACTTCTCTCCCTTCTCTCTCTTCTCCCGTCACTCCCGTGTCCTTCGTCCCAGCTTGTGGCTATGGCCGCTGCTCGAACCCGGTGTTCACTTCCACCTCCCCAACTNAATTGTGAAAAAAACATATGTCATGCAGAAGAATAAACTAAACAACATTTGCCTCAACAGTACATCCAAATTCGTTACCAGATTTGAAATAAAAATCAAATACGAAAAGTAAATAATATTAATGAAAATAAGGAAAAATAAAACGAGAATGAAATTATTGCGTGGGCGAGCAAGTTTTTGACACCGCCATCTTTGGCGATTTTTCATTGTTTTTTGGCTTTGTCAAATGCCATGAAATTTTATACATATGTATCTTACATGACCTACAAAGGGGACGGCGCAGAAAAACCGGTACCATCGAATCAACTAATAGAGAAGATGAGCAGATTGAGGCCAGAGACAGAGGGAACCAAAAGACAATTGAGTAAACGACCAAAGAAAAAACCTTCGAGTGAAAAGTCAGTGGATCAAGACCACAGCTGGGACCCCCGGCCAACCGATGACAGAATAGCTAGCACCAAGTAAAAGGTACCAAGTTTAAACACCAAGAAGAAGAAACCGAGTTCGAATACCTCAATTCGACCAAAGAAAGAAGCCTTTAAGTGAAAGGTCAGTGGATCAAGATCACAGCCGAGACCCCCGACCATTTGGTGACCGAACGGATAGCACGAAGTAGAAGGTACCAACTTCGAACACCAGTTCAGAGCGGACCACGGGAGACGGGGAAACGAAGTATGGAGACACCGATGAGGAGACATAAAAAGAGAGATACCTAGCAACGCTGAAGACCGCAGCAAGATATGAAATGATATGCAAAGAACGGCATGCAACGCGCCCGATTATGATGGGGAGAACCTAGATTGGCGCTGAGGTCGATCGTTGTCCAAAAGCAGCGACCCAGTAGAATTGCGACACTAGTGGAACACGACTCTCCAAGTACTTAGAGGTTTGCATCCCCGTTGCCACCTTGCATGTCCCCCATCCCCTCCCCCTCCTTGTCCCGTGGTGTGACTCTAATCCCAAAATCCGTTGCCAGCAAGATTTGCCATAGCTTCCTCGTGCTACCCTTGTGCTTCGCCTCCTCCCCTGTTCCCTCGCCCCCCTCCTTCCCTCACTCCTTTTCGCTTGCACTCGCCTCCCCAAACAACTGATCGGATTGGCCGGCACACTCGTGGAGACAAACAATAACGCCTCCCCCCATCCACACCATCATCCGCGTGCACACGACTGCCGGGTGATGGAGGTGCTGAAAAATGGGGCTGATCAAGTGTCCCACCGGCCAGCTCCCCCGCTGGGCCCAAAGAAAAAAGACACGGGACCTCACGAATAGACTCTGCACAATCACAATCCACGACCACAATGTGAGGCAAAAAACAGTGTCGTTCGACACGACGACGGCCAAACGGCGCATGCACAAGCAACACAACAGGAGACGACAAGCGGCCCACCCCGACAGAATGATGGCCAGCCGACACAAACGCATAACACAGAAACATGGAAAGACAAAGTGACATCAGTCGGAAGTGGGGGAATTGTCGCTGCATCCCCGCCTTCCTCATCATAGGGCGCGCACAAGCCACCGCCCCAATTGCTCCGGGCACTATCGGCACCAGGACGAGGGGACACGGGTAGGTCGTCCTCCCTGGCCTCCATGGCTCCTCTCAAAAGCCACATCATACAACAATTATACATTGAACCGGAGAGGAAATTCCAAGTTAAGCAGGGCTACATATACCCGCATTCGATCTTCTCGCCACACGCCCGGGCCACCAGAGATGGAATCTACATAATTAGAGCTTTGCAATTTCGTTTTCAGCCTATACAATGGATCACGGAAAAGCTGGAGAAAATAAAGCCGGATCGCCAATTGGTTCAGGATCAGTTCCTCATTGAGGTGGACAACCCCGATTGTAGTATGGTCGTCACCCTTTACCCAACAGATAAACAACTGCTCCTGAGAAACAATCGGTTGCAGTTCAGAGGCAAGCATGTGCAACTCTCCCCGTGGTCCCCCGTTGACCCACAATCCACTGACAAAAAACTAGAATACCTTATGAAATCGAACTTCTGGGTGGAGTTTCGGTTCGCGCCCCTGTGTGTGCAAGGAGCCATCCTTGCTGATTTGGAGAACATTGCACGGGTCAAAGGCTACATTACAGACTTGCCCCATTTCCTCGGGAAAAAAGATGATTCGCTTTTGATTGCGGTGGAATGGGACCCACAGTACCCCTTCCCCGTTAACGAGGAATGAAAGTATTCCTTAGGGGGGAAAAAGTTCTCAGTCCCGATCAGCCACACTCAGGATCCATGGTGCTATGCTTGCAAGCAGAAAGGGCACCTGTGCACAGATACTGAATGTCCAAAAAATAAGCGTAAAATGAAAATCAAAGGATTGGTAACCCCACACCCTGATGATGAAGAGAGATGGTACCCGGAGGAGAAGGAGCTCTACGGCTGCATGTTTAGGGCATACGCAGATGGCCGCCCAGGCCAATGGATATGGCAGGGGAAGGGCAACCCCGAGGCATCTCCGGCAGGAGCCGAACTCGTAATCCCCGTGGATTGTAAACAAAAAGGCAAACAACAGGAAATCCCGGGCTCGGACAAAACCCGAAGCTGCCAACGGCAGGGCCTTGCAGATGGGGGACCCAAACACGGTCAGACGAACGACGATGGTGGTGACAAACAAAACAAACAACCCCCTCTACACGATCGACCGGTTGGGCCATCCAAACCGGCGGTGGCTCCCCATCAGCGGATGTACAAGCCCAAACCACCGAAGAGGCTTGATGGGGAGACACACCGCAAACGACAGACGGACGGGCCGGCCTCTAGCAAGCAAAAGACGCAAGAAGACTCTCACCAAGGGGGGAAATGCAAAACTGCAGAAGAACGACAACAAGGGACTCTGCAACAGGGACAGGAGACCCCCCTGCCAAACGCTGACGAGGAAGTATGGCAACTCCCGACTGAGTCACAATCAGGGGCAGGCTGTCCACGTCAACGTGACAAAGGGGGGGGAACCGACGCAGCTCCTCTGCAGCATCTGCACGGGGGCAGTGCTAAAGCAACTGAATCTGGGCAGGGCACCCAGAAGAAGCAGTCGCTCCCCCCACAGCCTACACACCAAAATCCACGGGAGACTCTGGCTCCCGGACGTGCAGTGGACACTGCGCCCACCGAACTCCCCAACAACTCGGAGTCAGGCCACCTCGAATGTGGGACCTCCCTGTCTCCCCAACAGAAACAAGTGACCCCGTTCGCAAAAACCGACGGGGCAACACAGCAACCCCCGCTTGCGCCACAATCAGCAACACGGCCACAGGATGCTGAGTCTCCCAGACGTGCAGTGGACATGGAATCCGCTCCGCTCCCTCGCAAACTGGAGACAGGCCACCATGCACACCCGAACAAAATGAGACCCCACACGGGAGCAGCATCCAAGGAGAATGCAGGAAAAGGATTCAAACCCAGGGAGGTGTGGCTCAAAGCCAACTCCCTGCTCAACAAACTCAAAGACGCTGCCTTCCCCCAACACCCGGAACCCCCGCCGCCCCATCATCAACAGCACGGATCGAAAAGCGACTCCCAAGGAGGGATGGGAGGAGTGCATACACCCCAACTGACGATGGAGCAGCAAGGGGACACGCATGGCCATCCGCCAGACCTTGGCCGACCTGCCGCGAGAATGGTGATCTCGCAAGTGACGGGGGAAGCCAAATTTCTGCCTCCCGATTCACCTGGAAAACCGCAGCAGGAACTGCTGCGAACCCGGAAGCTGGAACTCGAACATGATGCGGTAATTGGGCAGCGCCCCCAACAAATGCAAGAGATCGAGCCGAAGGACCATCCCTCAGAACAGCAACAGCTGATGCTGCCAGTGCCAGGGCTCCAACAGCCACAACAGCAACCCCGGCAACCGCAGAAGCAGCACACGATGTCGCAGCCACAAAACGGGCTACTGTTGCAACACCACCACCAGATCCGAGAAGCGCAACATCAGCAAGAACAGCAGCCCATGTTCCAACAGCATAAACCCTGCGCGATGCAACACCAAGACTCGTTGCAGCAACCCGATCAACACCAGCAACAGATGTTGCAACATCACCAGCACCGGGCACAACAACACCAAACGCCGACGCAGCAACCCGCTCATCAGGTCGAGCAGTTGCGGATCACACAACACCAACCGCAAATGACACAGCAACAGCAGCACCAAGCTCGGGACCAGCCACAGCAGATGGAGCACCAACCCGATCCACAAGTGGAGCACGTGCAGCTCTCACAACTCCAACCGCAATCACTGCAGCAGCTGCAGCACCAGGCTCGGGTCCTACCACAGCAGATGGAGCAGCAGCTGATGTTACAACAACCTCAACAGACAACCCAGCAGGAACAAATGCTGACACATCAACAACAGCAGCATCAACTGCAACAACAACACCAGCATCACCCTCTGCAAGAACAGCTGCTAACGATGCACCAACACCAATAGATGGCCCAACAGGAGAAGATGATGGCAGCTCCACATCTCCAAGAAGTGGTGATGCACCAACAGCAACAACAACTGCTTCCACTACAACAGATCGAGCAAAACGTGCAGCAAAATGTGGCGCACGAACAGGTGCAGCATAGCTCAGACTGTGCTGACCAACTACGCTTCCTTTTGCAAGCGCAGTTGGCACAGTACCACCACTAGCAGCATCAACAAAGGGCCTTGCACCAGCACCAAATATTGCAGCATTTGCATTTGCAGTGGCAACAACAACTCTGCTGCCAACAGGAACGTATCTTGCAGCAACAGCAGCAGCAACTACAACAATTTTGGCAGCATGAGATGAAAATGCAGAGACAACAACAACAACAGAGCCACACACTGCACTGCCCCCAAATAGCTGCACCTGGCCCCTCGCCTCACAAAGCGGATGCACATAACGCACAAGATATAGACATCTTGGCCCCAGACGAGGTGCAACAGACAACGCAATATCGCAGTTTGGAGGCGGGCCCAGGGGGAGAGGATATTGGGATGACCCAAGTTGTGGCTCTGTTACCGCCAGACAGCCCACCYCTTCCCCCCCCCCCCCYCCCCYACTAGCACACGATGAAGAAGTCAAACCAAAATTGGCTTTCCTCACTGAAGGGACTCTGACTAAGATCTTTTCCATGGCAGAAGACGGGTCACAGAGCAAACTTACCACCCGGTACTGGGCCCAGGCTAAGGAGGTCCTCATGTTCACCCCGCGGGTTCTGGTCACGGTAGAAAAGTACAGCAATGTACAGGCTATAGACTGGATGGATGTGGGCACGGCAGTAGTCCTGGTGGTCAACAAATTCCTGGACAAAATACAGCAATATGCAGAAACCAGATTTGGCCACAATCAGGAAATGCAAGGCTCAACTACTGATGAGGCGTTCCACCACGAAGGGTTGGCATGGCCCAAACTGCTAGTCCACGAACTCTGTGCCACCCTCCATGGCCCTGAGACCGCTGCCCCCACCCAACTGGAAGAACGTCAGAGCCAGCTCCTTACATGGGAACCGCAACCGTCGGATGCTGATCAATAGGCCACACCGTCCCGGGGCCCCCGAAGAGTTACAATTGTGCATAACGACGAAGATGACGGACCATCCGGCTTAGAGGATGATGAACAGGATCAGCCCCCCAAGGGAATCTTGCGGGATCGGGTCAGATTGGTGACCGATGATATCACCCCGAAACATATGCCACCGGGAGTGATCATACTACCAATAACCCGACAAAAGGAAGGAGGTCAGTGGATGTTAGGTCTTAGACCCCCCCCCGATCGTCCCCAGCATCACCCCCCGGACTCGGACGGCCTCACGGTGGAGGGATGGAGAGGCCGCCCCTCAACAACAGTTATCTTAAAACGCCTTAAGTATTGGCGCAGGGAGACGCAACTGGAAGGGGTCCGAGGGGCAGTGCTGCCACGCTCGCTGTCGTTGTCGGAAGGAATTATCCCGCTTATCGTACTCATGAGTCCGCAGGCTACAGTCCCGAAGACAATGACAGCACACGCATGGCTCACTCAACAACAAATAATGAACCTACCCGCGGACCGATTCAGAACCAATTTTGCCTGGACCAGGACCAGGGTGCTATGGTTCATGTAGATCTTGGTGGAGGACAGCATGTTGGAAGAACACAACCAGTGGGATGACCCACCTTTTGTTCTCCCAATTAAGATTGCACATTGAAACGGTCGGGGCGTACACACGTTTGTGAAAAAAACACAGTGAACTATGAATCCGACCGGACAAACACCGAATCACGCTACTGCCATGGTAGGCTGCCAACGCGCGGCAACCCAGCGTTCGCCTCGTCCTTCTGATAGGCCACAGCACAATGTTGTCTTAATCACTGCTCCGTCTGCACACCCCAGCCATCATTCCCCGACGACCTTCCCCGACCGCCGTCTCCGCCCGATGCCCCCCCCCCGCCCCCCCGCCCAATGCCCTCTGCCGCCTGTTACGATCCCCCCGATTAGGAGGAAGCCCCATTAGCTGACAAAATTGGAAAAAGCAGATATTGACATACGCTCGGTAAATGTCAACGGCCTTATCCAAGCGACGACGCCGAAGAAAGACGTCATATGGGACATGCTTAGGTCCCCGGAAACTAGATCATGGCCGGATGCAATATGCATCCAAGAAGCTCAGTTGCAAGACACACTGCAATAGATAGGGTGTCTGCAGGTGTCGCAATCTGGCTACCGCCGTCCTCAAAATTGAAACCTTTGGAGGTTCAACATGACAAACTGCACGGTAGGTGGATTTGCCTGAAACTGCAATACGACGAAGAGGTTTTTTACCTGGTCAGCGTGTACGCACCCAATGACAGCATCGCCAAGGTGGACTTCTGGCTCACGGCCCATGAAGCCCTACCCGAAGACGCCCCTCTTACACTTGCAGGAGATTGCAATACCACGCTGGACCCAGTGCGGTGTCGGGCGCATCGGTCCGGCACCGCACGGGGGCAGCGCGGGACCCGCCCGGCCGCGTCACGCAGGAGTTGGTTTTTAGAACCCTTCGTCGCAATATACATGGAGCTTCCACAAGCCGCTCCGGCCAGGTGCGCCAGCCATACCTCT